TCAATTTCTAACTTTGTTAATTTTTTTTATAAATGAATGTAGTAAAAAAAATTAATTTTGAAATTAACGCTGAAGTGGCAGAAGTACATACTAAAGACTCAAACAGTTCAAGGGGAATTTTTTTCAAGGGAAACCGGGCTCCTACCGACTACGCTACGGCGGCAGTCATGAGATCCAGTATAATTCCGACGCATGTGATGTGGATCTGTACGCACTGCCATCTATTGACAAATAGCATTTTTTTGAAATTTTGACTTAATACAAATTTTTTTAACTTTTTTAAATTTTTGTCTCAGCCAGAACCATCTCCCAGACGTGGTGATTCTGAATATATCTTCAGTTAGCGCGATTGAGTGACAAATCACGGAGAAAAGCGAGGTCAAACAAACGCACACACACACAAAATTAGCCAAATTATAGTATAGATTTTCACGCAACAATTGAAGCTTTTGATAAAAATTATAAGTTTCGAATTTTTTCAAAAGCAAACTAACAATAAACGATTCCAATAATTAACAAACAAAGGGTACGGAGCAACAATGAAAGTCGCTACCCTAGGCTATAGTATGAAACACCTTCGATATCATATTATACGTATTAATTTATATATTTTAGGTTCCCCCGCTGCCTATTACGCAGTCACACGCACACACGATGCGACCAAAAAGAGCAGAGTGTAGCAGAACGTGATAACCCACATTTTGTTTAAACTAATATACGGAAATATTTCACCGCGTGTAACTGAACAGTGTATTATAATTTACTAGCGGGATACCCGGCGTTGCCCGGGGAAATCAGTGGCGTTACTCAGTTGGTAACCGCTTGATTAAAAGGAAAATTCCCAGAAAAATCGAACTATCAATCTATCCATGCATCCATCCATCCATCCATCCATCCATCCATCCATGCATCCATCCATGCATCCATCCATGCATCCATCCATCCATCCATCCATCGCATTCCATGCCATGCCATCCCATCCCATCGCACCGCACCCCATCCCATCCCATATCCCATCCCATCGCATGCCATCTCATCGCATCCCAGGCCATGCCATGCCATGCCATGCCATCCCATCCCATCCTATCCCATCCCATGCCATGCCATGCCATGCCATCCCATCGCATGCCATGCCAT